TACAAGTGCAGCTGACACCCTCTATACTGTAGAGCACTATCATCATTTCAAGATTAGGCATAAAAGATGCACCAGAAGTGGGAAGGGCAGGTGGGAAGTATGAGAGGAGGTAAGTATCTACTGGAAATATATTTTCAATGTAGGAAAATTTTAACTTCCAATATGATACCATATCTCTCTCACATAATAACTAGAATCCTACAGTGAAGGGACTGGTACAAAATTTACCAAAATGAGCACTCTTCAGAAGGTGCCTGAAGAGAACCCAAGGAGTGTGATACCTTAATGTATATGGTCACACCCATGGGAGACCGTACCTCATATATACCAAGTATATTCTTTGTCTGTTGTAAAGATATATGTGAAGCTAAGTTGGTCAGAAAAGATGCTCATCCAATCTGTGATTGAATACACCAGAGGGTGTGGAATGCTAGGGTGCATCAGAATTTATTTGGTGGATCAACTCCAGTCCAAAACAAGGAAGCATTGGGTACTTGTCTTCTGGTCCCAAAGGAGAATGGAAAAACAACTTCCATTCTGACAACCCAGGCAGAGCACATCTGTGCATACCCAGTACACAACCAAACCCAGGCCTCCTGGGAACCCAAAAGCCGGGTCATGGTAGCAAGGGGCATTGTAAAAATGGTGGGTCAACTCCAGTTCAAAACTAGACAGTATCGGAAATTTGTCATTAGGAGGATTCCTATCAACCACATGTGTGAGGACTTATGTTGACTGGTTCCACACCAATCCAACACCAGACTGCCTGGGAACTGACATCCCAGCAGTATGGCAGAGAAAAGCCAGCTGAAGGTGTGAACTACACATGGTGGATTTGTCCAGTCCAAAACCAGCAGCATCAGGAATTTTTCTTCTGTCTGGTCCATGGTAGAAGGAGAGTACTCATCATCTACACCAACAGAACACCACTGCCCTACTCTCATCTCTGTGGAAGCCTCCATGGTCCACCACCCCAGGAGCTAAGAACTTGTAAGTGGCAAAGACTACAGTACTCCACTGGGAAAGCAGGGGGAACAATGCAGTAGGGAATGTGGAAGAACACAACACCATAAGACAGTGCTACAGGTGACCACAGAAACTGTATTTTGGAAAGTATGCTGGTCCCAGTATATTTAACTAGTATCAGACAGATGGACAGCAATCCTGACACTCATGACAGTCCATGAGTTGGTATGGTCTAGTGTGGGTTTTATTTATGAAGCAAGATACCACAAGTCAACCTCCAGCAATCATGTGGAACACTCCATTTCTTCAGTAAGAGTTATAGACCTGTATGGACATATGGTGCAGATTTACATTTAAGTATACCTGGACTTGCACCACTCGCCAAACAGCAGGGTCCTGGATAGGAGAAAGGGCTACTGGAAAGGAAAGGAAGAATGCACCCTTTCAGAGTCAAAATTATGTTTAAAGAATGGGCAGCAAGTGATAGCCAGATGACAAGGAGATGGTGAAAGAAGCAAAACAGGAGAGAATGGACAAGAGAGGAAAAATTCAATGGAAGCAGGAGAAATGAAAAGTACTACACAAGGGTGCTCTATATTCTGCAATGGTGGAAACTGATAACATGTAAAGAAATCAGAAAGGTGGGAAACACTAGGTGAAAATGTGAAAAACCATGGCACAAAGACCAACTCTGGAAAAATCGCCATTTTTTTGGTAAGCACTTAAAGAAGAATGACAGACTGAGTGAGAAAGAAGGGAGGCTACCCATGTGGATAGTCTAGATCATCTTGCAAGGCACCAGACAAAATCTATGTGTAAAGTCAGAGTGTGGTGACAGTGGGATATAATAGGTGGACTGAGGTTAATGTAGAAGAGATTGGAAAAGTGGATGAGGTATGGAAGAGGGAAGACTGAAGGAGGTTCAGAATCAGAAACCACAGCTAAGCAGGCCAGAATGAAGCAAATAAAAGAACTTGACACAGAATGGTATATATAAGGGAAAGAAAATGAGGAAGAAGGTAAATAGCAGGATAAGCATAAAGGTAAAGATTGGTCAAATCCTGACTGAAGGCACCCACTGCTAAAGTCAGAGGATGTGGAAACTGGAAACCAGAAAAGTGGCAGTTTGGTATTGAGATTGATGGCAAATGCATCTATAACAGGAGTACCACACAGAGAGCATAACCGCTGAAACAATTGAGGATCAAGGTAGAATCTTGTTGGGATGAGTAACTAATCCACTACAAGATTCAGAGTACCTAGGATATGACAAGCAAGAAAACAAGCTTGCTGAGACTGGCCCCAGAAGAGGAGAACCAATGTTTAAAAGCAAGGCAATTAGGAATGGGTGCCCCCTTGTCAACTGATGCAACAGACAACAGTCAAATTGTCAGAAAGAATCATGACCAAATGGCCACATACTAAAGGTAGAAAATGATCCAAGGCCCAATAAACTGGAACAAAATCCAAAAGGTTGATGTCGAGAAGATTCAACCACTGTCCAATAACCAATGTTCTGCTGAGAATCCAGATATGCTGAAGAGGCCAAACAAGACATAGTGGTAACCAGCAAAGGTCCCAGTTTGTCATCAAATTGATGAGGAGAGCATTGATATGCTTCTGACAAAAGGTGAAGTTAAGAGAAGAATTGCAATACAGTAGTAAGAGTCAAACAAATCTGTAAAAATTGAGATCTGTTAAGAGTGATAACAGGTTCTAACCTGGAACCCCATATATCCAATAATGGGTCCAACCATTGAGTGTACAAATATACACCATTCTGATGATGATAAGCTAGGGTATGTTGATCTGATATCCACTTGTAATTGCATTGCAAACCTCCTCCCTGCATGCATGGAAATATCAGGGGAAGGAGGAAGAACCCCCCTAAGATCTATCTGACAACAAGGTAGGGGTAGACTGGAAAGCAATGAGGTTATTCCCCAAAACTTCACTAACTGCAGAAAAGGGGCAGAAGGTGGCTGATCAGATGAGCCCTCAGTGGAGGCATTCGTAGTGAAAGAAGAAGCAGGAAACAGTGGGTCTAAATTTTCTCCAGTATATTCAGGTTCATGATGAAAAGCTGACTCTGAACCCCAAGGGGTGAGACCCCTAGGTCACATAAAGGACTCCATCTTGCCCCGAATCAGATCACGGACAGACTCCATCAAGATTGTACCCCCTGACTGCTGATTACCATCAGACAACAAAGGAGGAATGGGTTCTACAAGTGAGCAAATCTGGCTAATCGTGCCCCCACAGTGCCGGAACCCACGGAATAATCACCGACAAAACTGGCATCAGAAAACATGACAATGAGCAATTTTGCAATTCACTGCAGAAACCCAGGAAGGTGGCACCAGTAGTGGGGAGGATGCAGGGGAGCAAGACACAGGAACAGGGGTAGGAGAGGTCTGGGAAGGATGAGAAACAAGGGAGGAATATTAACTTGCAGCCTCAACCCAAAACTCCAAAATATCTGAAAGATCCCCAAAAACAGACTGTTGTAAAAAAGGGGGCCAGACAGAGGTCTTGAAAATAGGAAGCAGATAGATGCACATGAGACAAGATGGCATCCTTGTGAAGGAGATTCCAACAACAAAGGAGCCATGTATGAAGGGATAAGGCTGAGGAAGATAAGTGCACCAACATGGAAAAAAAGAGTTGGGTAACTGTATCCACCAAAAACTCCTCAGGAGAACAGTGGATAGCCTCGGAAAGAAGGTGGATTGAAGAGAGATAACAGAGGATAATGGTGAGGGTGAGACAGGACAAGTAAGCTGGGAAAAACCCTAGTGAAGTCTGAGTCTCAGATGTTACAATGCCTGAGAATCTAAAATCCTAAAAACAGAAGTTCCAACTTATGATAAACCCAGGCATAGGTGCTAGGAGTCAGAAAAATGTTGGCATCCAAACACAATTAAACAAGAAACCATTCAGGATGTACATGAATATCAGGAAAGTGGGGAACCAAATAGTCCGATGATGGTGTAGAATGAAGGAGGGAGGGTGAGGAATCATAAAACACAGGGTTAAGAGACAACAGGTTACATACCTGAGAAATCATGTTCAAACAAAAAAGCCAATGAAGAACAAGGGAAATCCAGAGGGGATGGTGCAGCAAAGGATGTCCAAATCCTCTTTGTTGGGACAAATTCCCCGAAAACAGGAGATCCTGCCAAAGTTCCAGATATGCAGCAGGCCGCAAGATAGTTTTCAACTCATAAAGCACCAGGGCCAAAACCTCATCCGAAGAAAACGTGGAGCCTGAAGTCACAAGTAGTAAGTGGTAGTATATCAATGGTGGTGAGATCCATAACAGAAGTTGTTGTAGTAACATTAAAGTGAGAGTTCATTATGCAGAAATTAAAAAAGAAAAATATTCCACAAATACTAAGTAAGCAGCAAATAAATGAAAAGAAACTATGAGTTATCAAAACACATGAGAATTGTAAGTAGAGAGCAAAAATTCAGTATGACTGCACATTGGAATGCCAAATTGAGAAGTGATGATAGTGTTCTAGAGTATAGAGGGAATCAGTTGGAGGGTTTTCACATACTCATTTGCATGATACAGTGAAGCTATGCCACAAGAAATTATGTGAGGGTAGATGAGAGCATCAAGGTTGGTGGCAAATAAAACTTGTGAATATAGAGGGCAGCACAAGTCAAGAAAAACTATTATGAGGGAAGGTACTGTATTGGAGTTTCTCTACAGAACCTTTTATTTATATTTCAAGCACTTGACCATTGCAAAAATATAATTACAAAAATAAATAGCATCAGAATTTAAAATCAATTTATTATCACTAGCAATTTAGCAAACTGCTTTTGTCAAAACAATGTTGTTGCTTTTGCAATAATATGACTGAAAGTTCTTTTAAACCAAGTTATATAAAACTGTATTGTGAAAGCAAAAATTGAAATCCAAATTTGTTTTAAGTTATACAGTTAATTATTCTGTAATTTGCAAATATTAAAAATAAACTTCAGTTATCATTATTATTATATTTATGATGAAAGTTTCTACTTACGTAAAGAATGAATTTTTACATTCTGTATAAGTGTTTACTGGAAGAATTGTATCCATACACTCTGCCTCATTTTCACTTGTTTCTTCTGCTGAATAACTGTGAAAAACTCCCACGTTTGATCGACCATTCCAGTTTGTAACAGCTAAACTGGGAGTGCAGCATGGTGAAATACTCAGAACACGACGGGGTCTAATGAAATAAGTTGCACAATATTTAAAAGAAAAATCATTAACTTTGGAAAAATAAAAATCTCTGTTTGGATTTTACTAATCACCTATTTTTCTACTAATCACAATCAGTTTTCACAAAGTGATAAAGTTAATGATTAAAATGCAAAAACAAAGCTAAAAGTTTAATTTCCATTAAAGTATTTATATATATATATATATAATACACAAACTAATTTCTGAACTTAGAAGCTAATTATGCTTTATATCACTAATTCATCTGAGGCTTTGGAAGAAAAAAACGTTTGTCATAACTAAGTCTTTTAATCAAAGTTAGAACTGAGTTTGTTATAAGACTACAATTAAAGAAAGTTAAAAACTTAACCAAAGAAAAATAAAACAGAACAGATGTCATTACACTATTCCTTCTTTAAGTTGAATAATATTCAATCTTTAAGTATAATAACTACTTCTGAGTAGATTAAAATTTTTAGAGTACAAAATATAACACAAGTTTGTGGATGATTTTAAAAAACACATGTGTACACACTCGGAAAGCCACCCAACAATAAACTAACTTTGATTTCTATATTACATTTCAATATCAAATTATTTTAAGTAAATGTCAAATCTAAAAGAAACTTCAAGCCACAAATTTTCAGCTAGAACATATTCTTCAAGAAATGTTTCTAAGGGGTTGATTAAAATGATTAAAGAATAACAAAGGTTTAATTGGCTAAACTAGTCTATTTCACACGCAAAACCCATATTGAGCAATGAAATTGTAGAAATGTGTGAAGATTTATGACCAACTTTGTATGACTGATATATCTCATACAGAATAAAAGTAAACAGACACACAACATATTTTAACACCTGAATGCTTTTCTTTTATTATTCTTCTTGTCTTCTGGTATTAAGAGTCTGCTATCATTTTCTCTTGTTGCTGATAAGGTGTCAAATACATTGTCATCATTCATGTTATCTTCTCTGTCATCATTTCTTCTTACTTAACTCTACATTGTTGTAGTCAAGAATTCCTCATCCTACATTATAAAGTAAAGTACAAATTAAATGCACTATTTTTATGCAAAATTTGTTTTAAGATATTTATACAACTTTATATGATGTGGTTTCTTTTAACTAAAAGTTTAGTTTGCAATCTCATGTTAGTTTATATATTTTATTACTGATTACAATTTTTTTAAAAACATCTACTCACTTGACTAAAACAATTCCAAAAGTACTACACTTAGCTTGCAAAGGAAATGTCTAGTTACTAATAATGTAGTAATTCTGTTTCAAATGGTATTATTTGTTTGGACAAAAGTTTCATGTGTCCTTGTGACAATGCTATACATAATCGGGTAAGAAAGAGCAAGATGATGAGATGGCCACTGAATCTATCAAGGTTACTCTAAAGCAAAAACAAGAAAATGCTTTAAAGTACTGAATACCACAAAAAACAGTCATTACCCAGAATAATCTCTGAACTAAAATATTTGTATTTATGTAAGCTGCTTTACTAAACAAAAACCAGAAAAATGATAACATAGTAACATACATTTTAAACAGATAAAGAGCAATCTAAAAACATTGCACACAAAACTGAACTGTTAACATAGCATAATAAAACGTATGTGCAACAAAAATCATTGGGCCCTTCAAGGCTGTCTTTGCACACCCACCATCGGGAAAAGTAAACATTTAAACCCAGCCTTTACTTTTCATGAAATCATTGATTTTCCTCTTAAACTGATGTAAAGCACTGGCCTCTGCCCTTGTCAATGGTAAGCCATTCCATAAGTCAGTTATTCTGTTAAAAAACAAAACTATCTTAACTAATGACAAACCTGTCTTTTCTGAAACTTTTGTCCTCCCACCCTATTATATTTAGAATATAATACAGAGAAACCAAAAGCTTTTATCCTAATGATCTCCTAAATAATCTTATAAGCTCCAATAAGATCACCTCTTACACTTCATTTCTCAAGAGAAAATAAGTTAATAGATCTTAAACTATCCATGTAAGATAACATTTACATCCCTAGAATCATCCTAGTACCCCACTTCTAAATTCTTTCCAGTAAGTCAATATGCTCACTTACATTAAGGAGGCCAAAACTGTATACAGTATTCTAAGTGAATCCTTATTAGAGATATTTATGGAGATTAGTGAAATAACAATCTCTTTTGACTTGTAATCAATATCTATAGATACACTCTAAAAGTCTAATCGATTTACTACTAGCAACCAAGCATGCTAGAGAGTTTGTTCCCATCTATATTAAATGTGGGATCCAAATTATGATAATCGAATTTCATTATCTTGAGCTTGCTACAATTAATAGTTATTTACCAAATATATGTCCAGTTTATCCAAGTCATTCTGTAACACCTTAACATCCTCAATACAAATGTGTGGTATATAAATAAACCATGTATTTTTATTCCTTTGTATTACTAGAGTATTTATTCTGAAATTATTCTTTATTCTGTGTAGTTCCAACAGGTTTCACACAACACATAGTTGAGAAGGCCATTAAGTTCATCTTGACCCATTTGCATTTCTCCCTTTGTTACTGCCTGAAGATAAGACATGATCTGTCTGTGGGGGAGGGAAGGGGACTGCTTACTGTAATACTGCAAATTGTGCAAGGACATCAACAAGAGTAACCTTCAATAGTAGTTCAGGCTGTATCTCAAGGTTGTGGCCAAATCTATGTTTTAATGATAATGGCCAGTCATGTGGGTAGCAATAGTTTCTTGTTAAATACAGAACATTGGATTTAAACAGTCTGGTACACAATCTTGAAGAGAAAGCAGTTTGAAGGAAGAGCCAATAAAAGCAATAGTCCATCATTTCAAACAAGCAAGCACTCGTATTGTTTGTGTTAAGTATATTACAATAAACATTAATAGTTCATTGTTCATTTTCATATTTTACTTTTTGTCTAGTCTCCTTATTTCTTTCATTCTCAGACATAGTTATTTGGAGATTTAACATTATTTCATAATGGGCATCCTGATCAAATCTCCTGCTATTCTGAAGACATATCCCATTGCTTTTAAGTTAATTTGGTTTTACCTGGATATACATTCCACCCAATACAAAAAAATTAATATAAACATGTATTAATATGCTTTATTAACCAATCAAAACACTCTTATGTGCATATAATTTAATTATTAATTAAAAAAGAGATTTTGGTGACATAACTACAAGATATCTTATCATGGAGCTTTCTGTTCATGTGGGTATTGTAAGGTTAAAAAAAGGCTTTGTGCATGAGAAAATAACATTTTCCACAGTTTGAAGGAATTATGAGCCAGAAGAAGTTGGTCACTGAGCAGTTATACAAAACGCTGTTGGGTCTAGGTGAAGTCCTTTCCGAAACTTTGGACTTTCATTGATGTTGCAAAGCTCCAAGATTTTTTTCTTGTTGCTGTTGCAGACTGAGGAATGAGAACTGCTAAAATATAAAGCATCCAGAAAGGTTGATAGAGTTCCTTGCTTGAGGATTAACCTCAGTGCAAGGGAAGCACGTATGATTGAGTGTTGTTGGGGTAGTATGGTGTCTGGTGAGTCCGAGACTGAATGGTGTGTTCCATATAGGACTTCTAGGCCTTTGTCAACTATAGTAACCCAATCCCAGCTCTGGTCAGAATCACTCAAAAATATACAACAGACTGGAAGTGCTGTTGGTACATGCTTCTCACCAACAAGAGCTATCTCACCATCAGGTTTAATGGCAAACACTGAACAGAGAATTAAATGAACCACAGGGCAGTGGTGAGCCTTCCATGCTGGAAGAAATACTGCCAAAACAAATATGGATCACAGTGAAGCCCGGGGTCGTGTAGATCCAATGAATAAGCTGCGTTCCTCATTCTGCCCTGCTGAAAAAAGGCCTATTATTTATCAGAGTTTTAGAGTTCCCAAATATGCCTACAACACTATACTCCTGATGCTTAGGGTATTTCAGTTTGGTGGTAACTCAGTCTGTGGGCAAAAGGCTCACAGATCCCTTTGTGTAGGGCTAAGCATATTCGTGCCACAAATTTATGGGTACAGCCAAACAAGGTTGGGGCCACTTCCTTAACATTTAAGATGGGCCACTGTTTGGAATAAACAGATTGAGAGAGAGAGAATGAATTGTCTAATGCTGGCTCCAATTGATTTAGTGTTTAACTCAATCAAGAAATTGGATAAGAATGAAAGAGTTGAGAGTACTTGTCCAGTTGGTCATGAGAAACAAGATGATAATGTTCTAGATTTAGATATGTTAGATATAAGAAACAGGTCTGATGGTTGGTTAAGGCACCACCTGATCAGTACGAATGAGATTAAACCTGATCATACAGAGAGAGTATAGCCACTGACTGTAGGACCACTGGTTAAAAGGAAGTAGCAAACTTTACTTTACAAGCTATTAAGTGATGTTCAGCATACAATGTATGCAATTGATTACCATAAAGCTAAGACAACTGATATTAGTTGATGTATTACCTAGTACATCAATGGCTTACACATCTGAAGATGAGTTTGAAAACTCAACTCATATGGCATTCTGACTCTTGCTTTCTGAGCTATTAGGTGGTATTGTAAGGTAGCATGTATGCAATACACTATATGATTACAATTTAATTATCTAAAGTTAGGACAGTTTATTGATTGCAAGACGTAACAAAACCAAAAGGGCTTTGTGACACTTACGTACAAGTTATTGATTAGAGTTTCACTATAAGAGATATGCTCAGATAATGGATAACCAACCTTGTAACCATCACGTAATCATGAAACTATACATACTATAACTCTGAATTCTCTAAGTGTATCTTCAGAAAACCTAGAAAGCGTTTATTAAACATTACAGGTCTGTTATACGAAAAAAAAAAGTCTGATTTTATTATAAAGTATTTCTATTAAATATTTGTCTGTGAATTTATGATGCATTTACTGAGCCTCTGAAAAGTGATTTTCATGCTAACAATAAAAAGTACATCTTTTCATCTTACAGTTTCATATTTTATTTACATAATCATCAGAACCTCCTAAATGAATATCAGCATTTTTTTTCAGTAAAACTTTATACTCTTATCTTTTATTTTTACTTCCCTAAAGCTAACTGATTAAGTGCCACCACAACAAGCACACGTCACAAAACCACAACAAGATGTCTTTGAATGACCAAACCACTGGCGCTGAAAACATCGAAGAGGGTTGGGAATATAGGGCCATACCTTACAGTTCAAATAACCGACCTTAACAATGGCAGGTGGATGTGGTGATGAAAACTTCAAAATAAGAACTGAGGTCAGCACCATAATACCATCTTGACGAGTGGAGATCCTTCAAACTGTTGAAACTCCTTGGCTGGAGAAACCAGCAAGGATCTCTGACTCAAGGATAGACTTCGAGTCTCTCTCAACAATAACTACTCGTGAGGAAGTCAAGGAAGCGTGGGGAGTAACCTCAATGTGTATATCCC